AATGGGGGTTGTGGACCATCCAGGCTGCTTGTTAAAAATACAGATTGCTGGAGTCCCTCCCCAGACCTCCCCACCAGGAATCTGCACTTTGAACATGCTCTTAGGTCATCCATCTGTATTATAAACATTGAGACCACTACCTCTAAGGCATTCAATATTGAGGGCTTAGAAAACTTAGAAGGTGCTTTTGATATTACATGGATTTTGCCCACCTTCAAATGAGCTAGTTACCTACCAAGCTGGTTATGTGAGGTGAGTGACATTTGCTGGTCCTTGCCTTTCCATGGTCTTCTGTAGTGAGTGGTTCCCCTCTCTCTGTAAGCACCTAGATATTTCTTAACCCTCCTACCCACCAGAACTTATTCATACTGTATCCTTTTCTGTCACTGGCTAACTGATGGAATGAATTAATTTAGACTAGAGAACACTGTCTTGTTCTTCCCACATAAATAAATTTTAGCAGCTGCCTTCAGTGCCTTAACTCAAAAGCAGAAATGAGTGCAATGATGTAGGGCAGTGTAGGGGGTGTGGGGAGCTGAATCTGATGCTCTCAGGGGACGTCATGTGAATGGCAACCTGCCCAATACGCATCGTCACAACCCTTCTGATTAATAGTTTCGCAGCTCTGGGAAGTTTCTCAGTTCTTTGTTTTTATTCCCTAAAAATATACCATTACCTCAAAAATACAATCCTCTGCCTAAGGGTCAAATCATTGTCGGATGTTGGGTAAATAGATGTGTATAAGACCATGAAGGTGTTTTCTCGAAGGCAACCTCAAGATGACGTAGCCTTCGAGTGGATTGGAGAGCAATGTAATTCATCTCAAACACTAAATGCTCTTTTGTGAAAGAAAAATTATTTTAGTACATAACTTCCGAAATGACTTCTGTAGGATTACTCAGGATCCGTATCGATCTAGTATTTACACAGGCTAAATAAGTCCAATATTTTAGTTTAGTTATTTCAGCATTTAATCTATGCTTTTCAAAATATCATTTCCCTTAAAAACTGGGTCTTTGGCCTGATGAGTTAGATTCCCACCCCCACTCCCCGCCCCCCAATTGTACCTTTATATTATAACTACATGGGATAAGCTAATAAATGCAAATTTGAGAAGGAACATGATGCAGAGCTGAGAGTAACAGTTACAAAAGAGAGCCCAGCCTGAGGGTCTTAACTTGCCTTCCCTCTGAAATGTGGGTCCCTTGGTTCCTGGTTGTCCTTAGACCCTGGTGAAAAATCTGACTAGAGACAAGACACATGCTTGGAGTTTACCATTCCTTAGAAAACTGAGATGAGACTTCTACAGATCACGTGACCGGTATTTAACCCAATAACAGGACAAAATACCAAATGTATTTTGTATCTGTGGGTCATTTAGTTTTATCTATCAGGTTGGTGCAAAAGTAATTGCGGTTTCAGACTGTGAATTTTATGATAAATCATTATAACTAGGCTCAAACTCATCTTTATTAATCAAAATAGGAACCATTACAATCAACACATTTTTGCCAATGAGAAATAAACTTGTTTATTCCTGTAGTGTAAAAATCCGTGCTTTGGGATTTGATGACCTCTTGGAAAGCATTTTCTGCGTCCATGCTTTCAGCTCTTTCTTATTCTTCTTCAGGGATACCCAGAATTCGTATGTTAGTTTGCTTCTCATAGTCCCATATCTTTCTAAGTGATTGTTCCACCTTTTTTGTTCTCTTCTCTGCCTATTTAAATGGCTGGGTTAGCTTGAGAGCCTTTGTCTTCAAGTTCTGAGAGTCTTTATTCTGCCCGGTTTAGTCTGTTGCTGATGCTTTCTGCTGTGCTTTGAAATTCCCTAAATGACTCTCTTATTTCTTTGAGTTCTTTTATATCCCTTCTTATGTTGTCTAGCTCTTTAGTGACTTTTTCATTAATTTCTAAAAATTTTTTTGGCTTCTTTTTGTTGGTTTTCAACTTTCTCTTCCATGCCATTCATCTTATTTGCCATCCACGTTCTGCATTCCATTTCTGTCATTTCAACAGTTTCCTTGTAGTTTGGGTTCACTACTGTGGCTCCATTGTGGTCCCTTGAGGGTGTTGATCTGTTTTTATTTTTCATGTTGCCAGGGTTCTTTTGCTGGTTTCTTCTCATCTGAAACCTCTTTTCTCGACTCAGGGCTAATGGGTTTGCAGGGCACCTGTTCTTTGCTGGGAACTCTCCTGCTTAATTAGAAGGGGAGGTCCCTAAATGGTGCTTTTTTCCCCCCCTTTCTCTGGAATGTTGACATGGCAGGGGAGGGTGTGTGCACTGGAAGCCTGTAATGCCCCTGTCCTGATTTGATCTGTTCACTGCAATTGCCTCTGTTCAAGCCTGTGCTGACTGCTGTTTGTGCTGGGTGTTAAGCTGTTCACCAGACAGTTGTAGGATGATCAAGTTGGGAGCTGGGCAAGACCCTCTTCACTCAGGCTGGTATTGTGGGGATTGCTCTGCCCAGGGTCTTTCCACAGAGGTGACAGTGGCAGCTGGGTGAGGCTATACAGTCAGCAGTCATGAGTTCTCGGGCTGTAGGCATTTACTCGAACCAGGTCCCTTTATACTGGTGGCTTGAGGCTGGGGGTCCCTGGCAAAGCATTGAATTTTGGAGCAGTTCTGCCCACTCTGCAGCAGTGGTGAAGGATCTGGGTGGGGTCCTGGGGCCCAGGTGCAGTGCTGGAATCTCAGGGGTGGTGTCCCGGGCCTGGCAGGAGCTCTGGAGACACAGAGGTGGAGGCTTGGGCTCTGACATGTGAACCGCAGAGCTGAGACTGGGGAGGAGCCAGAAGTAGGGCTTCTGAGCAGAGCTCAGAGCTGGGAGCAGGGCTGTGGGAACAGCAGGGCAGATCTGACCTGGAGGGTAGTGTCAGGGCTGAGCAGGCAGCAGGCAATTGGGACCTGTAGGGCGGAGTCCAGGCCAAGCAGGTGGCGGCTGTTCCCCAGGCTCAGTGACGGGATTCCAAGTCATATGGGCGGAGGTCAGTTCCAGTGGCCCAGGGACTGTGGAGTTCTCCCTGTATCCCCCAGGACCTACTGAAGCAGTTGCCCAAAGCCTCCCAGGTTGGAGCCCACAGCACCCCAGTCAATTCCCGTGCTCAGATCCTGTTGCACTACTGGGGAGGGGTGCTTGGTATCCAGTCACTGAGTATGGCTTAGAGGAGGCTCCCCTTGGTCTGCTCCCTCCCCAGCCTGGTGGGGGCAAGGTGAAGGCGCAGCCGCAAAGCAGAGTCTTGTACCGTCCTGGTGCTGTGCATCTGAGAGCTCAGGACAGCATTAGCTGCTGCCAATCCCCACCACACCTGTTGTTTGGTGCAATGACTGCGCAGACTCCAGGCAGGTCTCTGATTTGTGGCAGCGAAGAGAGCCCTCTCACAACTCGGCCACATCACTCTGTCCTGCTCATCTTCCCCACGTGTACTTTGATATTATCAAGTGTATCACCCTGTCACCTTTTTTATTTTCCGCACCAATTGTCCCACGCTGCTTCTTTGTGGTTTCACAATGTTCCTTCCGAGAATAGCTGTCCGTAGGTAGGTAGGCACCTGCTTCCTATTTACTCTTCTTTCCTTGGGAGCTGCAGGTTCGTGGGCTGCTTCTAGTCTGCCATTTTTCCCCCTCTCTCAAGTCTGTTTAGATTGGGTATTGTTGCCAAACGAGTGTGTCAAAGCAAGAAAAAAACTTGTTTTTGAGAGATTTTTAGATTTCGAATTGCAAATAAGGGATTATGGATTTATATCTGGGTATTTCTCCAAACCATTCAAGAATCTATTTATATTTTTAATTCTTACTAACTTCATTGGGCAATTTGTCCCATACATTATTGGCCTAAAATATATTGCTTTCATGCTTAAAATGTCACCTCTAATCATTATACTCATTGATTTGGTTACCTCATTTCTGGTAACTTAGTGATATTACTATTTCATGTTATGATAAGCTTTTTAAGGCTCAGTTTCCTTTTTCAGAAGATTTCTCTTGGCACTGTGCCTGGCACTTAATGTTTACATCAATCAGCAAGCTTCCTCTGGCTGCAAGTAAGAGGAACTGGTTTTGGCTTAAGTAAGAGGGAATTGATTGGGAGCATATGGAATTAAAAGAACAGTTGAAGAACCGTTCTTGGAAATAGCAGGGAAAAGAAAAACTTTTAGAGTGAGGTTGGGGATATTTTATCAGAACTTCTCACCTCCACCTTTTAAAATTCTGAGTCACTCTGCTGAAGATCAAGCCCCAGGCAAATCTGAGGGGCTGAGTGTGGCTCATGTGCCCACCACTTGGCTAGGAGACAGCCTGACACGTTGATTGACACTCCCACCAAGACTGAGCAAAGGGTGGGGGGAACCATTCCCCTCCCAGGAGACGCGGTTGCTATTACAAGTAGAATGCAAATGGACTCGCATTGCAAAACAAAACAAACCCAACAGAAGTCCTCTATAGATTTCAAAACACTTTCAGAACATTATTATTAATTCTTGGCTTTTCAGGAATATGCGAAGTCCTATTTTTTAGGCCATCCTCATACAAAACTTACTTCACCCCCATGTACAGGTCAGTTGCATTGCTCTACAATTTTCCCAATGCTGTGTATCTTTCTTGAGCATAGAGGCTAGAGATGTCTGCCATTCTATTTTATTTTGTCTTGGTACAATTAAGGAGGTATTTTCAAAGGGATCTTTTAACAAGAGCATCTCCTACCAAGGTAACACTGACAAAAGGAATCTTAATGGTAAAAACCACTTCATTAATACATGCAAATACTTTACCTGGAATCTACTACATCATAAAAACAACATGGCTCAAAAACCAAGAAAATGAAAAAAGCAAATGAATATGGTTTTTTCCTCCCTCATTTACGGCTTAATTTTTTTTCAAGGATATTATTGCCCTCCTTAAAGACCTACATTTCTTTAAGTGGCTTTCAAATTGCAAGCAATTTTTACAGGCAGGTTGATGGTGTACACATCAGCTTAGCTTGTCGGTAACGCACATTGCTTACCTGATACTCATACTCTGTGAAAGGCCATAGTTCAGAATCTGTAAAGGAGCTTGAGCTTCCATTATAGGTTAGCACTGGATTGGATTGTCCAGGTCGAGGTGCTATTTGTCTTCTATATAATTCGTAGTATAAAACTCTTCCATTTGGCTGAACTGGTCCTGTCCACCAAAGGGAAACAGTGGGCCGGAATCCTCCTGGAGCCATCCGTACCTCTAGATGTGGAGGAGGCTGCATCAGAGGCGCCATCTCGGAAGTCTGTGCGGACGCCCATTCACTTGAAGCACACCCCAGGGGGGTGCAGGCTTGAATTCGTATTTCATACCTTCAGGACACGAGGCAGAAATTACCGCTGATCAGAAAAATAGATTTTCATGGGAAGACTCTTTAAAAGACCCAATGTTTTCAAAAAAGAGAGAGAGAAGTTTACATTTATTCTTATCTATAGCTAATCAATACAATTTTAGAACACTTTAAATCCTCCTGGTTTTCTAAACTCAAGAAAAAAAATCCTCATCTGCTTGAAAGAAGTGAGTACAATTCTTCCCCTAAACAGGAATGTCTGGAATAAATAAACTCTCAAGATTCTTTCCAGCATAGAAATCCTGGTACTCTGCAGAATTACTTAACACAGCGATGAAGAATGCAGACCTCGGGGAGTGTGAACCAGTTCTCAGCAGCCCTGGACTCCTCCTACCTTTGATTCCCCAGGAATGTTTCCAGGTCAAGAAGGAACATCATGGAGTTAAGGTTTCAGCGGTAATAAATCCCCTCACCTGATACCTAACATCTTAAAACAGGCTCTCTTACACCACACAAAGACCTTTGGGGGCCAAAGTTAACCCAACTACACACTAGATTATCAATCATGAAGACACCTTATCACCATCCAGTTAAACTCAACCAATCAATTATGTTTTGCCTCAGAGCTGGTCCCTGCCACTTGGAAAGGTCTATTTACATAGCAGGGATTTTTCCCTTCCAACAAAAGAGATTTTTGTGAGTATTAAGTGCCTATGGCTGCAAATGAGCACTTTTTTCTCTGTCCCCATGCACCACTGATTTTATGGCACCTCTAATTTTCCCTCAAGCACCCAGCTACCTTTATTTCTCCCTTTATTTCTTTTTGTTCCAGCCTTTTCCTCTTCTATTTTCTGCCTTCTCTCTTTGCTCCTCTAAATCACTGGTTTCTGTTCTCTTACTTGCTTTCTTTCTCTTTCATCTTTTTCTGTTTAGACTTCTTTCATTCCCCTTTTCTTCTCCTCCACCCTCTCCCCTCATGCTCATCTCCACCCCCATGGTGGGGTTCCCTGTTTACTGGTGATCAAATCCACGGCTGGGTATGGCAGATCTGACTTCTAAGCAATTCTGTGAAGTCAATTTTGACTTTCCACATAAGATTATTCATTTTTCTGGGTTATCTGTGGTAGTTTTAATATTGCAGGTAAGATTCCTTCTGCTATTTAGGGCGATCCCAGGCTACTTCCCCCTACTGACCAGCTGGGGGTGCCCAAAGGAAAACACACTCATCTGCAATATGCAGCAAACATGAGCTTGCTAAAAAACAAAAAGCAAAAAACTACTATATGAACCCTAACTTCATATTAGAAGTGATATCCTCTTTTACGTCAGTGCCCCTTACAGATTCGATTAGAGTGGATCATGAAGAGACCTCACTTATATCCTTACATACCATTGCTAAGTTTATGAGATACACTTTTTTTTCTCCCCCAGCCTGGAAAAAGTGTTCCTCTAACATCTGGAAAACTATTTTCTTCTCTAGAAATCTTTTTGAATAAGAGTTTTCAAAGGGGAGAAAATTGATAGGATTTTTAAAACTTGCAGGTACTGTCAGGTATAGAGGAAGCCAGTAGAAAATGTACAGCTCTGCAGCTACCGTGGGCCTTTTTTATGCCCTGTATGAGAGTAAGATGGAAGCCAACTCACATAGTGTGTGGATTAGCGATGGGGATACCTGAGGAAGTTTTAATTACTGTTTAATATTTAATACGACCCTAAATAATTGTCATGAGTAGATGCATAAGACCATGAATGTTTCATTTAAACAGCACTATATATCAGAGATAATTATAGGAGGGATCTAATCTTCACATCAGTAGATTACAATAATAGCTGAATTTTATCTGTGGTGGTTGGAAATCAACACTCTTTCAGCCTTTAATGTTTTTAAGTGATTCTGTTCATTTTACTAAATTTTAAGCATAAAATGTCTTTTATTACTCTTTTCTCTGGGGATGAAAGTTACTTAAAATGTGATGGGGAAAAATGCCAAGCAATTCTTTAAGCTATGGGCAAGACTCCTTTTTGTGGAGAGCAGCGTATTTCCACGCGTGTTACAGAGCCCAGAGGGAAACGCTGGGAAAATAGGAGCTAGCAAAGTGGCACTGTCCTGAGACGCCATGAGATCAGAGCTCAGGGAGTCCTCAAGGGGGTGAGGAAATGGAGTCAGAGAAGCCTTATTATCTCTGGAAGAAGTGTTGGATTTGATAAGAAGGGCTCTCTCCCAAACAAATTTTGGTTTAGTCCAACTCCGGCCGGTAATAGCTCTCATTGATTGGCTCTTTTTTGAACTTTAAAATAATACCTCATTTTCTTCACAGTCTGGGTCAGACGACCCTATTGGGGTTCTCAGAACGGTCCTGGGGCCTTCAGGTTTCCAGGAAGACTAGATTTAGGGAATGGCCCCATCTCTGCACTACTTGTTTTGGACATCATGGTGAATTGCAAACCTTCCTGAAACACTGACTCTCGAAACATCACCTGCAAGAATTCTGCTCTCCAGAGGATATGCAAGCAGGCTTTGGTTGGATGAGGATGTGCTTCATCCACCATGGATGGTTATGTGGATGGAGGTTGGGGACATAACACATCTTCCTTTTAGAATCTTCATTAGAACTCACTGAGGGCTCACACAACAGAAAGGCCAGGGGCTTGCTCTCGGAAAACCCAGACTCAGCTACCTACCTGTGAAATGGCTTCAGCTGGTTTACTATGAATGACTGTGTATCAAAAGAATCATGAGTTGTGTTTATGTGTATGATTTTTGTTTCTCTTTCAAACAGCTCACGGATGAAGAGGGTATAGTTGATGATATCATCATTTGTCCTCACTGGAGGGTCCCAATTCACTAAGATCTCCTGAGGGCCCTTGGCCTGCAATTTTGGAGGTTCCATCCCTGAGGGTGCTGAGGGGCTGGTTCGCTCTTTGACGAGCGGACTCAAAATACCCCCTTGGCTGTTGTTGGCCATCACTGTGTAGCCATACTCTACTCCTGGGGTGAGGGTAAAATCATGATAGCGAGTTTCCAGGCCTGTATATACAATGGTTCCATCTCTCCTAAGTTCATAACTTCTGATCTGGCCATTTGGGTTTCTTGGAGGTTTCCAGGTGATTTCTATTGATTCTGAGCCTGTGACTTGCAACGTTGGGGAGTCCATGTTCTCTGGTGGGGCCTCCATTGTCCAAGCGGATTTTGACTTACTAGCTGTGCAACCTCCATTTGTGCAGGCTACAAGGGAGAAATTATACTGTGTATAGGGCTGCAGGTGGGAAGCCAACAGGGTTAGGCCCTGTCCAGCAAAAAACTCCTTACCATCATATCTAAGCAAATATTTAGTGATCTTCCCATTCTGACTTGATGCTGGTGACCAAGATACATTTATTTGAGTGGCACTGATGGCCCAGAGATCTGGAGGGCTGACTCCTGTTGGAGCAGCTTCCAGAGTTGTGATGCTGGTGGGTTTGCTGGTGGAGCAGCCTCCACTGGTGCAGGCTAGGACTGCATAGCTATAGGTGGAAAAAGGAAGCAGCTCTTCATCAGTATAATTGAAAGTCACAGCATCAAAGCCGAAAGGATAGAGCATTCCATTCCTTTGAAGCCTATAAGACTGGATAATGCCATTAGATTGTTCTGGTGGGATCCAGGAAATCAGCAGTTTTGGGGGATTCATAGATACATAGGATATCTCAGGTGGAGAGAGACCTTCTGGAGGTGCTTGCAACGTCCTTACTACATTCCAAGAGCTACAGGTATGCCCTGCTGAATTCCAAGTATAGATTTTATATTCACACTGCGTCCATGGTTGCAAACCCGTGTCGTTATACAGAAATGTGTCCCTTTCAGTATTATATTCTGTGAAAACAATTTTCTCATCGGCCTGGATTGTCTGATTCCCCCAAGCTTTGCCCTCGAAGCATCTGCGAATCACTTCATAGCGAATTATTTTTCCATTTGGGTTAACAGGCTCCGACCAGCTCAGCTCAACGCTGGTGGCCTCCACGGACTGGATTGTGGGAGGCAACTGCGAGTCCGGAGGGGCTTCATCTGTCCACAGGGGCTGGGGTGCTGTGTGTGCACAGCCCGCCCCGGTGCAGGCCTCCAGGGTGAGGGTGTAGAGAGTGAAAGGCTCCAGGCGGCGGAAAAGAAACTGACGATTCAAGCCAGTGTACTCCAGGGTGCCGTCGCTGAAGATGGTGTATGTCTGTAGGAAGAGAAGCAAAGGGAGTAACATGTAGCAAATGATTTCTTGGTGTGGCTGCTTAGCTCCTTTTTAATCTTCACCTCACCCTACCCTGTTACCTTGATGACCCTAATCCAGAAGAAGCATTCTGATAGGAATGTGGGGAATGTGATCTTTTCTAGTTAATGTAAGATCCATAGGAAGAGAAATAATGTTTTCCTTTGCCTTTTTTTTTTTAAGTTTGGGCAATATGTGTTTATCTAAAAGCTAAGGGCTATTGGACCTGATTCTTAGACTTAAATAGTGCCTATGGGGTTTCTCCTATTGTTATTTCTTTAAAGTAGGGACTAGTATTCAAATCCTCTCTTTTGTAGATACTAAGTGCTTCTGGTGTCATTCTGACTAGGGCAAGTAGGGCCTATCTACATTGCCTATCTTCCATGGCATTTGCTGGCAAATGGAATTACAATGCCTAATCATTTGTGTTACAGGATGCCTGGGCTGAGAGAGAGAGAGAGAGAGAGAGAGAGAGAGAGTGTGTGTGTGTGTGTGTGTAGGCACACAGGCACATATATGTTATACATAAGTACAAATATACATATATACATATATTATACATACATATATCAACTTTGATGATGAGGAGATGGAAAAAAACACCCTGTTTTCTCTTGCGGGCCATAGAAGCATTGATTGCTGCTTTGGGGCAAAGTATTCTTTTGTTCTAGGAAAAACCATCTGAGTGCTCGTTATACAGTACAAACGCAGAGCAAGTTTTCATCCCTGTATTATTCATTGATCTTTTGGGAAGATGGGAAGTGATTTCAGTTGAATATGCATGTTTTCAAACAGTGGTTTTCCTGCTTCAATGCACCTGAATGCGACACACCTGCAGATGACTCCTCATGATGGTGACTCTCATGAGGGCACAGGACACACACCAGAACCCCGTGGAAGGCACATCCAGTTTGAAACATTCCTGCAGGTGGTTACTGGGGAATTAGGCTGGATTGTTAATGCACTTTAATGTTTTTTAAGATTCAATAGCCTAGACTTTTGGAAATCTATTTATGTTGGACTATTGTATTGACATGTGATTTTCTTGTTGGGGTTCTAGGGCAAGGCAACAGCCCTGGGGGAAGGGAAGTGGTGTATTTTCTGAAGGGAGCTCAGATTCCATAATCAACTCACAGCCTCTCTGACTCCCCGGGTCCCCTTTGATGCCCTGATCTTCAGCTGGCAAATCTCTAACTGGTGTTAAATCCAGCTCGCCCTCTAGACCCAAGCTCCTAAATGAGTCTGGAGAAAACCATTCAAACACACTGACTGGTCTCACTTTAAATTTCTCACCATAAATTTTCAATATGTGACTCCAAATTTGTCATCCTGTTCTCTTCCCTCATGTGTGCGTACTCTCATTTTCCAATGTGATTATCTCATATCTTCTTTCCCCACTAACCACCAACACTCTTTTCCCTCCCTCACCGTTGGTTGTTGACATGACCACATATTTCATTGAGAGAGTAGAAGCAGTGAGGAAGGAAATCCTCATGTGAGATATTACTGTGATCACATCCAGGTGAAGCAAGACTTGCACTATTTGCTTTCCCTCCTTTGCCATGGATGAAATATCTCTGCCCCCAACAAAGGCCACATGCGCTCTGCACCCCATGCCCTCCTCTTTCCTGATGACTTCACTCCAGCAATTATTCTCATTATCTCCTGTATCACCAAGTTACCTCCCTCTCCTGGTTATTTCCACTAGTGTTTAGAGGTACTCAAGTATCCTTAATTAATTTTTAAATAAAACTTCTCATCCCCACTGGCCCCCAGCTACCGCCCCATTTCTCTGCTTATATTTGATCTGAACTTCTTTAATGAGTCCCTGTCCTCATTTCCTCACTTGCCATTCTCTCCTCCACCAGCCATCCCTACCAAGTTTCCCACTCTAACGCTTGATCTTCCTGTCAAGATCACAATGACTCCCTTACTCCTATATCCAGGTGGCTTCTCTGCCCTCATTTTACTAGATCTCTCAGTGGCATTTACTGTATTTTTTTCTTCACTTTTGGGACATCCCACTCACCTACTTTGCTTTCCACCTCACTTGCCTCTCATTAATCTCCTTTGCTGACTCCCCTTCATACTCTTGTTCTCCAAAATTTAGAACGGCCCCAGGGCTTAGACTCAGGCTCTCATCATCTCTAGTTACATTCTCTCCATAGCTGACCTCCAGCACCATGGGGTTAAATACCCTCTACCTGCTTTCAGATTCCAAATACTCATCTCAGTAAAGATCTTTCTTGGAAGTTCTAGACATGTACCTCCACCTGCCTACCTGTCCCTTGAAGCCTGTTCACCTTCCAGCCTTCCCTTCCTGGTCAATGGCTCAAGACCCAAACCCAGAAGTCATCCTGAAACACTCCCTTTCCTTCCCATCTCACATCCAGTCCATTCACAAATTTTGTCATCTCTGTCCCCTGAATATATATCTTCAATCCACCCATGTTTCATGACTTTACTTCCACTCTAATTCGAGCCTCCATCTAATCTACTTTGAGTTCTTCAATAATGTTCAGACTCTAGATAGCCCCTTAGAGTCCATTTTCCACAGAGTAGCCAGAGGGATTTTGAAAACCATACATTTGATCATGCTATTCCTTTGCTTAAAGCCTTCAGTAATTTCTCATTGCACTTGGAACAAATTCCAAATTCTTTACCACAGCCCACAAGGTGGGGCACCATCTCTCTCCTGCCAGTCCCCCCAACATCTTCTAGTGCCATCTTTCTCTGCCCCTGAGCACTTCCTACCACACGAGCTTTCTTCTCTTTCCTTGAACAACACACCAAGTTCATTCCTGGCTTTGGGCCTTCAGCATTTGCTCTTCACTTTGTCTGGAACATTTTGCCTCCATGTCTTTTCATGACTAACTCTGTCTTGTCATTCAGGACTCAGCTCACATGTCAGCTCAGTTCAAATGATTATCCATTTCAAAATAGCCCGAGCAGGCATAATGGCATCATTCTATTTAATTTTCTTGATAGCATTCATCGCTCTCTGAAATTCCCTTATTTATTTACTAGCTTATTCTTTCCCTCTCTGCACCCCCACCATTCATACACCCACACACACTTATCCACACATACGTGCACACTTAAGGTCTGTGACAGCGGAGACCTTGCCTGTCTTGTTCACTCTTGAATAAGTGTATGGCACTTAGTAGAAGCTTAATAAATATTTGGTGAAATGCAAATGAAGGTGCAAGGAGTCAATATTCCTGTTGTCAGTCATGCTAGGAAGAAGCAGATGCTGGGATGGGAAACACACACTCCCAAAGAGAAGTGCTTTGATAGACATGCAGGGAGCTCTCTTCTCTGATGGGGGCCTTAGGGCTGTGATTTGGATTTTGAGGTCGTGGATCCGAAGGCTCAAGCCTCTTGCCCCAGGGTGGGGGAAGTCTGGCTTCCATCACATGTAGGCAGGCCGGTGGGAAGTGGCTTGTTACTGCTACTTGTAGCAGGCCTGGAGCCAGGCAGAGAGGCAGCGCACAGAGAGGCCCACAGGACAAACCTGGGCCTGTGAGTTCTAGTTACAGTTCTAAGTTATTGCTGTACATAATTTCCTGCTGTCTTCCCTCTCTTAGGGTTTTCGGGGAAGCTTTATTAAATGTAACAGCTTAGTCTTAACTGTTCTATGTGGAATTAACGTGGTAGTAGTTGCCACCGTGAGAAACAGTGGCAAAGAAGAGGGCAGAGTGTCTGTAGCAGCTCCAGGCTGGAGATCCTACAGGCCCAGCCTGCAGAAGGTAGTTGATGAGGGCCTAAGGGGTAGTCCATGGCCAGAAGAGACTGCAAGTAGAGGTGGTGGCATAGACCTCGCCACCACCCTTGGGAAGGAACATCTCAAAGGAAGATGAGGTCTGGCTTTCATGTGCGTGGGAGTTCAAAGCATCGAAATGCAGGCTATTAACGGAAATGCAACCCCCTCTTTACTCACAGGCTCATGAAGCTTGGGATATGTGTATGACCTTTACACGACTGTTTCCCATGTCTACATACGGAAGTCGGGGAGTTCGCAGACACGTGTGGCTTACTTAGTGAGCTCTGTTTAAAGCGCAAATTGGCAAGGTTTAAACAGATACCTGGGTAGGATAATTCAGGAGGCAGTAAGAACACAGTCATTTAGAGTTCAGTTCTGGTGTGACTTACTGGCTTCAAATCGCAACTCGATCATTTACAACGTGGGCTTGGGTAGTTATTTAGCCTTTATATGCCCCATGAGGTTTAGTGGTACCCACCTTGTAGGGCTGATGTGAGGATTAAATGAGATAATCCATGGAGAGCATTTAGCCCAATGTTGGCTTCATTGGAAGCATCATGCATATGAGCTAGTTTTCTCTGATCTATTAAGTGCCTGGAGGAGCCATCAAGGAGAATTAAACAGGCTGTGAAGGGAGTTTTCCCACAGTGATCTGATGGCATGTAAGGGCTCAGCTATTTATCTGGAGAACACCAAACATGATTTCATATGCAGGGTAGATGTTACCTTAATCACACCATTGGGTCTGGCAGGCTCTGACCACTGGAGTAGCAATGCACGGCCATTCTCCTTCTGTTCCACTGTAAAGTTGCTCAGTTGACTTGGGGAAGATTCTAAGGTTTGAACCAGAGCCCAGGGACTTGAAACTTCTCCTGCCTGGTTTGCGGCCACGACACCAATGTGATATTTCGTGAATGGTTCCAGCCCAAACAGGTGGGCCTGATGGCTTGTTCCCTATAAGGAAGTTAACAGGTTAAGTAAGTTTATTTTAGAAGAAACAGTATTGCTGAAAGGTCATTCTCTGTACATCAGCAACAGAACCACAAACACTAGAGCAGAGTTTTGAATTATCATTAAGAAAACAATGTATTTTTTTCTTCGTGTTGACACCCTGAACATATTACCTAATGTTATATGATTTCAGACACCCAGAGAGTGGATCAGAGAGGATGCATTTCTTTTCAGAGCTTACAACCCAAAGGGTGTGATACATAAGCATAAAAAAAAATCTACAATACCTCAGATCAGTGCAGCACCCAGTTCATGATGAAAATTAGTGATACCAAGTTGCATGGCAGGGACTGGGATAATTACCCTCCAGGTTAGTCTTAACAGTTTGGAGATTTAACCTGAACAACCCTAATTTTCTACTCCCCAACACTATTTGTTTATAGATAAGACTCTCTCCAGCTTTCTAATTCCCTCTCTGATTCTCTTGGTGTGTATTTATATCTTACAAATTCAATAAAACAAACATAAGGAAACAGTAACAAGCCCACTGAACTATAAATATACAAAAGCTTAGAAAAGTCTACTATTAATCTAAATATGAAAATATTTTCATTTGTTAAAAACACCATAACTAAAACCATGAAACTGACCAAAAGTAGTCGTTACCTAGGTTTTGAGAATTTGGTCTTTGTTGATTTAAAAGAAAAGAAAAAAGGGATAGTAGAATTAGTGTTGTGTTTTTTTTTTTTTTTTCCTGCTTAGAGAGCAACATTTAACATACTTGGCATAACTAAACTGGAGCTAAGAATTCTAATGTTTTCAAAGGCCCTGGGGTGCTCTTTCCACATCTGGACTGAATGAATATGTCTGTTTAAGCTAGGAATTATGTCTGCAAGTGGGGTAGTAATGTGTGTATAGGTAAACACACACACACACGCACACACACTAGCATTTTCTGTTGTGTACCATACCCATTGAATATGAATAATCATGAGAAAGCTTTGACTGGGTTAGTAGGATATTTACGTTTAATGATGTGTGAGATCAGCTTTTGTTTATTAGATATTTAAATGTGCTAGATAGTCTTCAGTTCTTTTCTTGGGACAAAGGAGGAGGAATGTGAGGGGAAGGAGTAGAAGTTATTTCTGAGAGTAGGTACCCAAGAACATCAGACAAAGTTATGCGTGAAGAAATTCTCCTTAATTTGGGTACATCCAAATATCATTTGGATAAAGTCTAAAACAGGATAACAAAATCAAGCTGAACCATTTTCTAAACCAACTGGTTAGACAAAACCAAGACACTGTAGAAATAATTTTTGGTATTATTTTCTCACATTCTTGGTTATAAGTTTCAACTGTGTAAATGTTTCTTATTATGTGTTAAACACAAGCAGAGAAAATACAATTTCCTTAACATATCGAAAACTTGTAAAGTCAATTTTCCTATCTCAATAAGTCCCATTATGATATTACATGCTAACCTCTTGAAATCTTTTAATATTTAAACATTTGCTAAGCGAGCAGACTCTGAAACAAATTTTACAGAAATACTAATTTCTCTTTTTTAAAATATTAAAAGTTAGATCATAAATATTTAAAAACTTATTTCTCCACAACATTGGATTGGTCTTTTAGATAAATACAGCACAGAACTAAAATGACCATAATGAATATTAAATCTGAAGATGCTACAAGTCCCGATTACAAACATTCTTTTCTGACAAATGATTCCTTTTCTGTGGAAATAGGGCAAACACGGGCAAGATTAATAATGCAAAAAAGAATAATTCTTTGTTCACAATATTCAGTAATAGATGCCAAAAAAGCATAAGCTCTAAAGCAAATAGTAATCACCTCTAACAGATTATATATAAAAAAGGTAGGCTGTTGAGGGACATTTTTTCAAAGGCTTTTGTCATAAGAAACATGAAAAGCATGTGGGCTATAAAGCAAAAACATATGTATATTGTCAATAGCAGCACCTGCTCAATTACAGTTTATTTCAGAGCTGAGAATTCCATTCAGCCCCTAGATGGCAATACTATCAAACACTTTTGGTAACATGAGTACTTAATGATTAACAACTGGCATTCAGTCATCCAACACACTCCAGGCAACCATTAAGAAAATAACAAAACTGATTTCATTATAGATTCTTTTAATAAACATTTATGGCTCAGATCCTTGAAAGCAGAAGTATTCAGAATGCCCTGGCCTCAAAACCTACACCATCTAATACAGAAATTTGACCTGCAGGTCTCAAGTTGAGGTTTGTGCACGCCTGGCACAGAAAATGTGTAGAGATATACTCCTACAAGGGATACCTGCGGCAGTTGTTTTGCTTAATCTCGGTCTATATTTATATGTTTTATAAACAATAGAAATAATCACAGATTGGGATGTAAAGGAAAATTTCTGTGTCATGAAATTATACCGAGGACAAGTTCTCAACATTACATTTATTTGTTATTTCTGAAGAGCTACCAAAAAAAAAAAAACAAAACCCCACACATACTCACAGACACATACATACCCCTCAACTAGATCTCATTAATAGCCATGCTTTTTGTCAATGTTTCGTGAAAGTCATATGAAAAAAAATAAGAAAATTTTAAAAAGACAAAACAATCTTTACCAATTTATTCCTTGATGTTTTAGGAAATAATTTTTATGATTCTCTCCTGAATGGCTTGCCAGTGCCAAAGATCACTATTCTAGAATTCTGCTGCAAAATCTGGATGCTGTTCACTCTGTGGATTGGGTTGTGTCTTGTTTATTTATTCAGTTACTTACTTGCTCTAAATTCAGAATATTTGCTTGAGCATAATGGATCTGAAATGGTTTGGATTCAGGTCCTTCCTTTGGAGAGGTAGCGTTCTGTCCCGCTGACTAGGAGAAGTCACCATTAGAAACCATTTCTTTCTTTTTGCTTCATTGCTTCATCTTTCTTCCTTCTCTCTTTTCCTCCTTCCTCATATTCCACCCCTTTCCTTCCCTCACTCCTTTCTCTCTATGGAAATTATCTTAATTCAATACTTTCATTCCTTCCTCATTACCATTATTTTGCTCTTTCTTTCCCTTCACTCCTCCTACCAACTTTTTTGAACTATACATTTTGTTATCCCCGACCTCTGGGCTGCCAACTTGCACTTGCTTCTGTGTTGTCTCTGTCTGTTCTATGTCCACGTCCATATCAGACTCAGATTTTTTACTCTGAAATACAGTAGCTACATTTGTCAGGCAGCAGAGGAAGAAAATGATGCAACAAAAGAAAACAGGAAGAAATATTTTACCAGGGATAATACATTTTCTGCAATCTAATATTTTAAGTGAGATTTAGCCTCTTATTTTTTTTTCCCTTTAACTTACATACATGAAGGTCAGAGTCTGGATACAAATCAGTGCATCATTTTATGAGACATAAAGACAAGACTCTCTGGAACACTCTGCCGGCTGAGGTTCTGCTGGCAACTTGAACTACATTTTAACCTCTCAACTCTGCTCCTGGGGACACGTGAAACTACTTGGAGCCTTCAGCAGTCTGACAATTTTACACCATCTCCTCTGATTATTTTTGACGACTTGAAGTGCCCCAAAGGTGGCCATGGGGTCAATAGGTTTATGTAGGTTGAAAATGATCAAAAATTACCATTGATCTGTAGCTGTCAATAAAAGACTGCGTGGGGATACTCCCTGCACAAATGTTTAAACTGCATAAAGCTTCCTAACTTCGTCATCTTTGAGTCTATTGATCTGATGATCCAGCAGTTTCAGAGCTTTCCCTCTGGTCTTTGTGGTGCATTTTTGCTAAGCCCACTTACCTTAGCCCTTAGGAATCTTTTTACCCTGCTTCCAGGAATAAACCAAAAGAGTGATGTATAGGCACTGCTGTGTTCATCAACAGAGTATTATGTGTGCTTATTGTGCTTTGGAAAGGGTTAATCTTCCTGGTCACCATCAACTTCATTTCAAGCCAATGGGATTTCTCCTGCCTTTGCCTTTCACTTACTATTCTCCCTTATCCTGGGCTCCTTGTGCTAAAATGGATGAGTTTTGGCTTATAAATCCTGACTAGGTGGTGGGGTACCTTTGCCTTAGTTATTAATATCATGAATGCCAAGACTCAGAGGAGTCACATCAAAAGTTTGCCTTTTTGCACAAAGAGAACTTCAGAGGAATCCAGATTTACATATATCAACTTCTATATTCTTTAGTTGAACCACTCAGAAGCTTTATCATAAGGTATATTTCATACTGTCATAATGATAAAATAAAAGAATGATTATAGACAAGAGCCAGAGTTTCTGGTTTAGATTACAAATAAAACATGAGAAGCAGTTCAAGCTCTCATGTACCATTACCTAAAAGCCATGGCTTGGGACAAAGTGCATCCAGGCAACCGGATAACTTTTATACATTGTAATAGTGACAAATCAACACAAAATATTTTTCTAGATTTCTGAAAGCCAGATAATTTGAGGCATAGGTTCTATAGGGCCATTTTTCCTTTCCGTTTATAAAGTTAATCTTTGAGTTCCCCAAAGGTTGATCAACATATTTGTATTTAATACTATTTTGTAAAAATCAAATCAGTCTTGATACAGAAGTGATCTCTTTGCTACCCATTAGCCAAATATCAAACCTGAATACTTATCCATGGTTAACTAAGCGTGAGACTTCCAAGCCTGCAAAATGTTAACACCATCAGAAAATTTTCACTGATTTCACTTGCACACTTACTTACTTTACCGATGCCATCTTGCCTACATACCTCTAAGCTGGTGGGACAAAGACATTTATTGACAGTACACACGTACATGCAGAGTTGCTCTGGAATCATAAAGCACTCAGAATGCAAGAAAAGTAGGGCACAATATCCTTTAGGTTCATGCCTATTGTTTTATGTGCATGAAAAGTGTGTATGTGCTAGGCAATGTCACTAAATGGTATTACGCAGCTGTCAAAATGGTCAGTGGAGACAGTAGACATTGTTGCTCAGCA